TCAGACGCTCACACGTTCAGACGCTCACACGTTCAGACGCTCACACGTTCAGACGCTCACACACACAGATAGACATTCAGACGTTCACACACACAAACATACAGACAGGCATGAGCAGAGACACTGCTGTGGTGAAGTATACTTGAGTTGACGGTAACTACACTTGTTACTGTGCGTGCAATAAAATAGTACAACGCCAATACTTTATCAATACATCTGTGAACATGTAAATAAGGGTGAAACCTACCCACCGCCGATATGTTTACACAAGTGACTGTGGCTCAGAAGGTAGAAGGTGTCGTTCCTCAATTAGAAGATCGGTGGTTCGATCCCCGGCTCCTCCTTGGGTAAGACACTTAACCCTGAATGCTTAGGAAATCCTGATGGGCAGGTGGCACCTTGCATGGTAGCCCATGCCATCAGTGTATGAATGGGTGAATGACATGTAGTGTTAAAGTCAGAAGACTAGAAAAGCGCTATGCAAGTACAGTCCATTTATCAGCAAAGCACGCACGATTGGCCAAATGTTGTTTGTTGTAAACTTCTCTGCTGGCTGAGACAAAGCAGGTGGCTGACAAGCAAGACATGGGGACTGACCTTGAATCTTGAGAAGTTGCAGCATTAATTTACTGACCAATAAACTGTACATGCGCTGCACTGCTACATTCACAGCTATGACGTTACTGTTAATAATACTACTACTACAATTAGTTATGCGGAGCTTGCAACACACTAGCTAAAACCATGATAGAGTACACCAGGCAGACACACAGCTGACAACCTCACAGCTAATCTAGTTAATGCAGGGGAGACTTACTGGGAAGATGGCTGCATGTTTCCACAACAATGCATACAGGAGTAGTTTAAGAGTACATGAGCACAGTATCAACCAATAGTGGTGCATCTCTAATCTAAAGCAGTTGTTGGGGGATGGAAAGCTTAGATTGTGACGCAGTCACACAGATTGAATGAAATGATTTCATGTGATGTAAAAGTATAGATATTGTTCTTTCCAGTATCATGCTGATGTTTCTCAACTGAAGCGATGATTTCTGTCAATGATGCAGCAGACGCGCTGTAGAAAACGTCTAATGTTGTAAATATTAAAGGTGGTGATGATTCTGTGTCTAGGATCTGATGTGAACAGTATGGACTCGGTGGACAGCGGCTGCACTATGGGTGCTGGGGAAAGCCAGACCAACCACGCTGCCTCCTCGAGCTCTGAGCTGGTCATCTGGGAGATTGAGGTGCCGAAGGTGAGTCGGTACAAAGGGCATGCGAAGTAAAACTATAAGTTATCAGTGTGACATGATATCAACTCCTTTCACGCCGTGTACCAGTTCATTGGAGAAGTCCTGTCAGTGTGAACTGGAACCAAGCAGCTTCCTCTGTACCTGTGTCAGTGGAATGTTTAAAAATAACAAAGGCTTTTACATTCTAACAAAATACTAAAGTTTGGTATAAACAAGTTCATATTTGATGTTGATCATGTTTCATGAAATGGAATATAGGCACAAAATTTTGGCTGATTTCAGTTTTAATCCAAAAAGACTGTCAATATTGGTATCGGTCTCCAATGTTGGGGTTGTATTGCATGTGTGGGTTTGAACATGTTTGACTGGTAGAATCAGAGCAGACAACACACAGCACTCATGCTACTCCAGTCAGGTCAATGGTGCTTTCCTCCTTTTTGATGGTCACACAGTCAACCAGTTAATGATTTACGGTATAAGGTGGCAAGCATGGCCAGGTCCAAGGGCAAAGATTGTCACTTTGACTGAGTTTAGACTCCATCATCTGGGCCCCAAATAACTTGACATGCTCTTCTTTCACCTTTTTACATTTACTAAATGGTACATTGACCAGCTGTTTTAGGAAATCAGCCGGTTTTAAAATGAAATCCTATATTTGGATGTTTTTATCTTGTGGATTTGTGGCACAGACACTTTTCCCATTGAGAGACTGACTAACACATTGTTGGTTTGTTAAGATGAATAATTTAAAGCAGGGTTATTCTCTTCAACTTCAGCGAGGTCCGTTTACAGAGAATTTCGTCACACAAAGGTCCAGAACATCACGGTAATGTCTAACTGGCGTTTGATGAAGTAGCCTAACATCTGTATTAACGTCTGTATGTAGTCAACAACTCAAATAAAGTTCAATTGAGTAATATCTCAATAATAATTATTGTCAGTTTTCAAATTGAACTGGATGAATTATAAATAATACATACTCTAATAATCAATAAATGTTAAATAAATGTCTAATTTTAAGTAAAATCAGGGATGCTTTCAAGAATAAATAACATAACAGCTTAAAATAAAGTACATTTTAGAAAAAATGAATTTCACTGAATTGCCCTGCAGCTTTAAATTCCGTTCATTCAGGGTGAAGTGATGTCAATCAAAAAAACCATAATATTATGTTCTTCTAATAAGAGAAATTAGTGTGCAGGGAACTCATCTGTGGTTATTAAACCGCTTGTTTCCTCTCCGTTAACATCTTTGTTGGGCAGTGGATTCATGTGTGGGAACACTGGATTTAAACTGGTTGTGGGAAGAATTACATTTAAGAGTCTATTAAAGACTCTGGTCTCTCTGTCCACGTTTCTCTTTTTGGAAAAGCTGCGCAGGTTAAAATAGAAGCTCTCTGTCAAAATGTAATGATTCTCACTTATCGATTGGTTTGAGGTCCAGGTCCGGATACAACGGCATCTGGGTTCAGATCCGGAACGCAGTCCACCAATCAGTGACCCCTGATCTAAAGTAACGCCAGCCTCATCCATTTTAATAGAATGTAATACCTTAGAATCTGTCTCTGAAAGGTGGAAAGTTGTTCATGCATATGCTGACTCTTGCTAGAAATATACCCGGAACTAATAGTTTTCCAGAGTTGACAGCATTATGGGGTATGTAGAGCCAGGGCTGTTTGTGGGAGTATGCAGGTGTATCCACACTGAACTCTGGAGTCTTTCAGAGTAACCTTTAAAGTAGCTGTTCGGCCTCCGTGTTTTCCTCTCAAACACAGGATTTAGATTTTCTTTCACATTCTTATAAAATGTTACCACTCCAGTTTTGTATGAATCAACTGTTATTTTAGCATGTTCCTGTCATTCCTACCTGTCTTCCTGTACCAGCATCTTGTGGGGCGGTTAATAGGGAAGCAGGGAAGATATGTGAGTTTCCTGAAGCAGAACTCTGGCGCAAAGATCTACATCTCCACCCTGCCTTATACACAGGAGTTCCAGATCTGCCACATAGAGGGTGAGTTAGGGGGTTTAGATCCCCACATCCCATTTGTGGGAGGGGGGTAAAAATCTTGACGTATTTAAAAGGAGCTGTTGACCTCCATGTTTTTTTATCAGTGCTGTTCTGAACCACTTGTGTTTCTCTCCAGGTACACAGCAGCAGGTTGACAAAGCCCTGTCCTTGATTGGGAAGAAGTTTAAAGATCTGGACATGACCAACCTATATGCACCGCCGCCGCCCCCACTAACATTGCCATCGCTTCCCATGACCTCCTGGGTAAGGGTGGGCTCTCTGGCTGCTCTGTGCCACCAATACTGAAGTGGACAGATTTTTAGCCTACGATATATTGGCAGAAGAGTGAGGCTAAAGATCAGGGCGTATGTCCACCCAGGCTTCAAAGACGTTATAGCCACATCACAGTGCTAGTTGGAGTTTATCACGTACTAGTTTCTCAGCAGTTAGCTTTTTTGCATCTCTTTATTTGTCCTCCTGCAGAGTGAACTTGTCAAACACTCAAATGTGATAAGAAGCTATGAACAACTAGTGGGAAGTGTTAACTATGCCTTTAGTTCCTTAACTTCTATAATAGTCTCGGTTATGTGGTAGTCTCGTGACGACTGGCTTTTGAATCATTTATCCACGATTGAAGGATGATCGACTGGTTTTTCCCTACACTGATTAAAATGTAATTTTAACAGACTATCAGAACTAAGATGTTTTCAAAACAGTCTCTAGAATGATTCAGAGTTTCTGTTTCTGGTGGAGTGGCCAAATCAGCACCAGTGAATCTTGAATCCTCTATTACAAACCAGTTTTCCGTCTCTTATCCATGGAGGTGACCCCCACATCTCTGTTCTCCATATGTCTGCTCACCAAAACTTGGTAAGAGGAGTTAACGTTATGGAAATGTACCCAAAGTCTTTGTATTTCTACATTCAAAGCTTTGAGGTTGTCAACGTTACGAATGAAGCTTTGAGCTATTCAGTACAGTCCTAGTGATTGTGATAAGATAATAATAATAATAATAATAATAAATTTTATTTATATAGCGCTTTTCAGAGTACTCAAAGACAATTTACATTAAAATCATTATATATAAAAGCAATACACTAAAAACATAAAATACACTATCGGTCACACATTAAAAGCAATTTTGAACAGGTGGGTTTTGATTTGAGATTTGAATATGGAAAGGTCAGTGCAGTCTCGGATATGTTTGGGGAGAGAGTTCCAGAGGGAGGGGGCAGATATGGAGAAGGCTCTGTCACCCCATGTCCGGTGCTTGGTCCTGAGTGGAAGAGACAGGAGGTTGGCATCAGAGGAGCGGAGCCGACGGGATGGAGTGTGGTAGTGAAGCAGGTTGGTGAGGTAGGAGGGGGCCTGATTATGGAGGGCTTTGTGAGTGAGGAGAAGGATTTTATATTGGATCCGTTGTGGGACGGGGAGCCAGTGGAGGTTCTGGAGAACAGGGATGATGTGGTCACGGGAGCGGGAGTGGGTGAGCAGGCGAGCAGCAGAGTTCTGGATGTACTGGAGTTTATTTAGGATTTTGAATGATGTGCCATGAAGAATACTGTTGCAGTAGTTGATTCTGGAAGTGATGAAAGCGTGGATCAGAGTTTCAGCAGCAGATAAGGAGAGTGATGGGCGGAGACGGGCCATGTTTTTTTAAGTGAAAAAAGGCAGTTCTGGTGATTTGTTTGACGTGGTGTTCAAAGGAGAGGTTGCTGTTGAACATGACTCCGAGGTTGTGGATGTGTGGGGAGGGAGACAGAGTGGAGTTGTCGATGGTGAGGCAGAAGTTGTGACCGGTTTAGTGAGGGATTTGGGACCGATGATGATCATGTCAGATTTATCACAGTTCACTTTGAGGAAGTTGGTTTGCATCCATGATTTAATGTCAGTGAGGCAGTTGGTCAGAGTGGAGTGAGTGGCAGTGGTAATGGCCTTTGTGGAGATGTAGAGCTGGACATCATCGGCGTAACAGTGAAAGTCAAGACCATGTTGACGGATGATGTTGTCAAGAGGGAGCAAGTAGAGGATGAACAGAAGAGGACCAAGCACCGAACCCTGGGGGGGGGACGCCTTGAGACAGAGGAGCAGTGGAGGAGGTGCAGTCGTTGATACTGACGAACTGTTGTCTGTTTGTGAGATATGATTTAATCCAGGAGAGAGCAGTTCCGGTGATGAGGGAGGATTCGAGGCGGGAGAGAAGGATGTTATGGTTGATAGTGTCAAAAGCTGCAGTGAGGTCGAGGAGGATGAGAATGTTGAGGTGACCAGCGTCTGAGGAGTGGAGGAGATCGTTGGTGACTTTGAGGAGGGCTGTTTCAGTGCTGTGAGCGGAAACCGGATTGAAATGGCTCGAACAGATAATGTTAAACAGAACATGATGCTGTATGTTGTGGCACCACGCACAACCACAGTCATTTAAAGGGAGCAGCCAAAGGAGGAATGAGTCGGGATAAGGTTAATGAAAGCAGCTATATCCCCTCATCCCGTTGGAATCCATCCGGTTTAGGTCGGATGCCCCGAGAAATAAATAGTTCATATTTGTCTTCATTACTTGTCTTCCTTCCTCACCAAACAAACCTAAAACGATTTGATTATGGGATTCAACAGTATTTTGATTCGGTAAGCGGACTCTGACGTCTCAGTAGACACATGGCAAAACACCACAGGAGTCTGCTACAGGGCCGTGGTGTGGAGAGTCGGTACAACCCACAACGTCCAGTACCAAGGCTCATTAGACACGAACACACTGCACATGGCTTTAGTCTCATTTTAGGCAGGACTCTACAACCACTGACAGTGAAATGACCATAGCATAACGAGCTACATCCTACAAGGTGTTCTGCCTGGATAATGGTGCATTTCACGGCAGAAAAGGTTCAGCTTGTTCTGTGCACTCTGGTCTCATTAATAATAATTTAGGATGCAGTATTACTTCTCAGTGATGAAGTGTAGGTTTTAGCCAAAGGGAATGCACACTGGATCATGGAAGAGTAACACTTCCTCTGGTGTCATTTGTGTCTTCAGCTCCTGCTCCCCAGTGGAGTGACCGTTGAAGTGATCGTGGTGAACATCGTGTCAGCCGGTCACGTCTTTGTCCAGCAGCACACCCATCCCACCTACCACGCTCTGCGCAGCCTCGACCAGCAGATGTTCCTCTGCTACTCGCAGCCGGGCACCCCTGCCCTGCCCTCCCCTGCTGAAGGTAACCATGGCCACACTGATGTGTCTGCAGTTCAGTAAACCTTACACTCCACGGGCAGCTACAACGGCATCTTCAGCCACTGTAAACATGCCAAGCAGCATTTTTCTTCTAGCAAATTGTGAAAATTCGAGAGAGAAAAATTAAATTGCACCGATATTATATTTTTAAGGAACCGGCGTTTGAGTCCTAGCTAACACCATAGTCGTATCTATGTTATCCACACTACAGCTAAAGGCAGCATGGTTGATGCGCCAGAGCTTCTTCAGAAATCTCAATGAATACATCAAAAGTTTTTGAATTGAAGTAAATGAACAACGGTAAAACTATAGGTTGTTTGTGAAGTAATGAGCACATGATGGATAAATGACATGTGGGTTATACTGCAGAGTTGTGTAAGAGTTTGTAAATGGATGTTTTGACATAGGTTCGGTTCACCAAATGCTGAGGAAAAATGTCTAAAATACGCAACAAGTTGTGGCCCCATAAAGAAGGTCAGCAAAACAAAACTAATCTCAGCCAAGGGACAATTGCTAATTCTATTTTGGACATGAAATGCAGCAACAAAGGAAAATTTGTCTTCAGTGTGAATATTTTAACAATCAACCAATACAAAAGTAGAAAAAAATATCACTGAAATAGGAATCTTAATCCCAGTTCAACTTTATCATTTTAATATGTTTTTGAATTATTTTTGAATTTAAATCGTCCGTTTGTCCTCCAGTGGGTGTGATCTGTGCAGCTCCTGCGGCAGAGGAAGCCTGGTGGAGAGCTCAGGTCATCACCTTCTATAAAGAAACTAATGAAGTGGAGATCAGATACGTCGACTATGGAGGCTACGACCGAGTTAAGATCGACTCACTACGGCAAATACGGTGAGTGTCGGAGGTCTCGCCATTTACAATGCAAACAAACAGGATGCAAGTGCTTCTCTGGAAATAGTTTCCTTCTGCTTTGTGGCACTCGCTGTGGGAGAAGTATTCCAAATTCTTCCACCAGGGGCCTTCTCTGGAATTAAGACTAGTTCTAGACCAGATATGTTTCAAATAAATATGTCTATGGAATTTAGTTTCAGTTCAGGACCAAGTCTAATCTTTGTCCAGGTAACTACTCTGCTGTGTGTGTATTCACACAACTTTGAGTAAATTAACTTTATCACACATATTGTAATATCTCTCACTTAAAACATCAAGTTTTAAAGAGAGAAGTTTGAGACCCTGGGATTGTTGGTTGTTGTTGTTGGTCCTCCTGCATTTTGAGCCAATTCGTTATCGTGCTGGTAATATTCCAGAGACTGAGAGCTGCACACACTTTGTGCTGCTCCCTGGTCTCCATCCTCTCCCTGTACCGCTCCGGTGTGTCTGCATTCTGTCTTGTCCCTGGCAGCGGGCTGTGTAGCTGTGGTTGTGCTCTGTCAGACTCAGAACTTTAGTGTCTAAGTTGCTTTATTTCCACAAAGTCAATAAATAGCAGTGTGTTTCCTGAGGTGCAATCATACCGAAATGTTTTCATTTTGGAATTTCAAATGCAAATTGCTATATATCACACTTCCAAACATCTTCTCTAACTATATGTGATTGTTGCAGCATTGATCAGTGTACCCTGACCTTCTCACTACTAAGTGTGGAGGAGATGCACTGTGGAGCTGGTGAAGGCAGAGCCAAAGCAGTCGTTCTGGTGGTTCAACAAAGTGCTGACTAAGGGACATTATGGATGAGAAGATTTGTGGAAGATTTTATTTTACTGATTCCTCCGTTTTATTTTCCAGGTCTGATTTTGTAACACTACCATTTCAAGGGGCTGAAGTATTGCTTGACAACATCGCCCCACTTCCAGGTACAACATTGTTTAAGACACCATTTTCAAACTTACGGCTTAACAGCAGTGCTAGTAGTTCTAGTGTCTTAATGTTGCGGTCTGAAAGCTGCAGGTCGTGTATAGCTGCAACTATTGTTCCTCTGTGGTGGTTCTCACATGTGTTTAAAATGCCCTGTTACCAGGAGAGGATCGTTTTTCACCAGAGGCCACAGCAGCGCTGGAGGAGATGACCAGAGGAGTGGCATTGCTTGCACAGGTTAGACCACCTTCCTCGCTGAGCTGAACTCCAGAGGGTCGGTCTACTGTAACTAACTCACCATGTGTCTCTCTGTCTCTCTGTCTCTCTGTCTCTCTGTCTCTGTCTCTGTGTGTGTGAAGGTGTCAAACTACGACAACAACACAGGCCTCCCTCTGGTCCACCTGTGGAACATGGTCGGAGAAGAGGTACGATGCTTCAATGCACCCGTCTTAGACATGTACTTGTAGTTTTACGGGTATTTATGTTGTATAACTGTACTGGTAGTTTTAAAGTTGAGGGTGTCAGTGGCAAGGCCTTAACACACAGAGGGAGGTTTGACTTTGTCCGATTAATTCACACGTCAATAGATGTTTCTGTACACAGAACGTTAATGTTCCGCTGTGAAAAGCCCACCTTTTTCTGAGCTTTCGCACAGCGAATAAAGGCCTGAACCAACCCCATTGTGCCCTAAATATCATCGTCTTCCCCCGCGGTGTAAAGCCCTGCCGCCACACAAAATACCTTTTTGAAATGACCACTTACATACACATTTCTACACCACAGCTGTCTCTGGAAAGCTGGCATCAATACATCCAATAAACAGAAAATAACGAATGAATGGGATCGTGTTACATCTGCATATTTGTAAAGAGGGTGCACTATTTCACCAAGCATAGTAATCAGGAAATGCACTTGTGTTCCTCTTGATAAAGTTACATACTGTAAGTTCTGAAACATATTATCATATTGACGCCATGCTACAAACGGCGGCAGCGTGACGAGGAGCTGAGTGCTGCACCGTCTTACTTTTTTTCATGTTCAACTTTGGGTGAAACGCTCCGCTTGTCTCTCTTGCTTTTTACCCAACCATCCAATCACAGTGGAGGAGGGACAGATAGCCTAGCATGGAGACGTGATCAAATGTGTTTTATTCCATGTTTCCTCACCCAGCACATCTCATTAGCCATAGACTGTCAGGTCTGTCCTCTCTCCCTGCGTGCTTCATCCAGAGCCAACGTTTTCACGTATCATAGCAACCAAAGCGTCTCAGCTGAAAGAAGTTGCACCTCCAAAGTGCATTTTCAAAAGAGTCTGACTTTTTCCGCTGGAGAAAAAAACAAATGGTCCCTAATTGTGTCCGTACAATAGAATCGTACTATCTCATGAATGGAAAATGTAGGCACATTGAGAAATCAATGCAAATCAACAGGGATCTGAACAATTGGACCAAAAAAAGCCAACAACTCTAAATGTTATCCCGAGGCATGACTCGCCTCATTGGACATGCATCAACTGAAGCTGCTAACAGTTAATGTTAACTAGTTCTCCTGCTGATTTCGACACGGATTTTAAGCTCACAGTGTGATTTTAAGCATTTATGACGATCTCCCAATGGCATATTTTTACTGAATATTGGTCCCGAATAAAGATCACATTTATTTTTCTGTTGCCCAAGCGGCTTGCTGATCACCGAGCCTTAATGTCGAGCCCTGACCAATTGCATTTCTTCTCATTTCAGGTGATTTCAGTGAACCGTACGCTAGCAGAGAGGGCCCTGGGTGTTTGGGTGGATGGATTTTGAACTCCCTCATGCTCTGAGCTTCACCCCCTTATTCTCTTGTGAACAGCTGTCTTGGACCCGGGTCATCCTGAGGTCCCAGCCCCACCAGACACGCCGGTGGATCTAAGAAGATTGTTTTTTCTTTCATTGCTCTTTTTTGTCCTATTTTTTTTTTCCTGACCCCCATTTCTTTGAAAAGAAATTAAAAATTGTTTTCAGGCAAAATCTACAAGAACAGCACTGCTTCAAAATAAGACGACCTCCCCTCTTGTTCTTGTCCACAAAAATAACTTAAAGAAGGAAAGGAACAGGTACTTGTTAAAAAATAAATTCAAAAAAACAAACATTTTTAAATCTATATTGTAACTAAATAAAGGTTCAACCAATATTTTTTTCCTCCCACATCCCAACTTAATTTTTGCTCCGGGCCTTTGCTCACCGACTGTGGATCATTGTGCTGTGTGGAAGGACAAATGCCTCCATCAGACTTGTCGACACTTGTGAACAGTTTTGACTTTCATTGATGCCTCGGTTATCATCATCTGTAGCTCACTACATTTCAAAGAAGATTTATCTGATATTTTGGGGTTCTTGTCTGGATAGAATGTGTTGGGGGGGCAGAAAGTCTGTAGAGACTGATGAGTGACAGCATAGCACAGAGGAGACAAGGCCAGAGGCTGGTCCCTGGTGGAGCACCCAGCTGGTCTGCCCAGCAGTGTTGCATTAAGAGACATGGATTTCTCTGGGGTGTACGTCCAGAGCTGCTGCTCCACCTCCAACCAGGACGGAGGACAGAGCGGGTTCCCTTTGCTCTGCCTTTCACCACCAACTTGCACTGCGTTATCGAGGAGCCAGGGATTTCAACGTACTAGACAAAATGCAGTTGACCAGTTTTTCATATTTGAGCTCAAAGTTGGGCAAGATTTCCTTAACTCAACATTTCCAAAATGCATTTTTCAGACAGCATGTCAGCAAGGCAACGTACGGCTGACGATGCAGATCATTACGGATGGGCTGTTTGTTAAAGACTGACAGAACTGTAAAGATCCACTCCCATTGTGTGATGGCACCTCTAAATTAAGTATCCCCACAGTTGAGATAAAAAATCAGTTAAACAATTCCGTACGACGACAACTCCTTGGAAAATGTTGCTAATTAACAGCACCATTACTGATTTGGCATTTTTTTTTTTTTATCTATCAAAACTAACAAATGATCAAACATTTCAATCTGAAGGACAGCGAAGCGGCTAGAGGTCTGTGTTGACTCATTTTCACATGTTGGTCAATGTCTCATGGTTGTCCTCTGGTTTCATAATTCCAAAGAACAGGATGCCATAATCATACGGTTAGTGAGGGAACCACCAAACTGACTGAAGGAAGCACTACACAAGAGTTGGTTTCCAGTGCTGCTCGTCAGTATGGACCTAATATTAACTGTTTGTCTAAATCCAGTTTGTGTCATTAGAGCGCATGGTAAAGCAGCCTCACTGTCCACCTGTGTGTCGCCACAGACAGCAGGGCCTTGTTCTTCATGTGGATGAGGTGATTCATCACTTCTTTAGCTAATATATGATATGAATCAGTTGTCATAGCAACAAGTCCTCAACCCAAACCTGAAAGTTGACATAATTCAGATTTTAGGGGCCTGTATCAACAAGCTAATTCAACTTCCACTGACTTTCTTTGGGAGCAGTGGCTTCACTGAGCCTGGCGTTGGTGATGCAGGATAACTGGTCTCATGAAGCTGGCTCATCACAGTGAAGTATTAAGAAAACACTTTACAGCTGAAACGGTGACACGGGTGAGGATTGAGGCAGCAAAAGAAATGTTGATAGTAGAAATGCACAACTTGAAGAAAACACGATTTAAGTATTAAAAGTAAGGATATAAATACGTGTTGGAATGATGGCTTTCTAAATTATGTTTGGCTTTTAACATGTAGTTCTCCCAAAATAAACCTCAAATCTGATGTGTGATGCACATGAAAAGTAATAATAGCTGATCAGGTCTATCTGACCAAAACAATTATAATTGAATGGGAGCTAGTTAAGTGTTTGCTGTATTTTATTAGAAAATAGAACCAAAGTATAAGTCATGTTAATGTGCTCTGAAGTGATGGAATAAGTGTAAATGCATCAACACTGTCTGGAAACAATGAAAGCGCAGATGAAGTCACAGTTAATTACTATTTAGTGAGATAGACACTGCTGTTTGTTAGAAGCCCTGTTCTAACCCACAGTGATTCAAAAGGCTACAGTAATAAGAGCATCATGTTTCTATAGGCCAGGAGAATCACAGTCAGGATCCTGGGGGAGGGATGACTCCTTTTCTAGTGATCTGATTGGTTTGAAGGGCAGTTGACAGATTGTGATTGGATCTCCTGAAGTAGCAGTGCAGCATATGTTACCATGGTAATCTCTGCTTCTGTAGACATGAGCCAGTTAGCCACTAATCTCACTTTGTGATACAGGCCCCTGATGGAAACCTTTCTAGTTTTTGAGAATGATCACAGTGTGGGTGTAATTCTACATTTCTTCAAAAGCATGTCTTCATTGCAAAATAAGAGCACGGTGTCACTCATAATGTCATCCAAGTTTAACAAATCAATTATTTTACTGTGTTTGACAAACCGAGTCTTCTGGATGAGACCATTATAGCTGTCTATCGTCACGTTAGCCTGAGTGCTGTTTATTATGAAAAGCTTGGCTTGAGTGAGCCTGACAAACCAGGGTTGAATTTTCTTCTAAACAACCCAAAATGAATGTGGCCAGATTAATAGAAACATGGTGATAGAACACAGACATGAAGGACGGATCACCTCAATTCAACACGCCTAATAGAAAATCATGACTTTATGAAACTGTAAATGAGCTTGATCTATTTCAGCCGTCCTTGTAATGTTTTGATGAAACACCCCTCTGGATTAGCTCAACTACGTATGAAGAACACGGTCCTGCTGAGCAGGGAGACCCACAGTCCTGCAAGTTTCTTTTCAGTCCAGTCTTGCTACTGTAGTATAGATTGCATTATTTTTCAGACATTGAATCATAATGTTCTAAATAATAATAATGTAATTCTAAATAACAAACTCTGTCTATTTCTTATTTTCTATTAAGTCTCTTTTCAATGAAAAATGAAATCACTGTTACCCAAGCAATAAGGCAGCTTTATTTTGAAATTGAAGGACAGAATGTGGAAAGGAGTGGGCTTTAAGTGCTCCATATAACACGACTACAAACGGAGCACGTTCTCTGCATAACATAACACATGTAAATGACACTTTAAAAACTCCTCAATAATACATCTTGTCAATAATGTATCTCAGGAATGGTTGGTTAGGTGGTTGGTTAGGGACTCAACAGGCCTGAGGGCAGCTGATGGAGGAAAGGGGCATGATTGTGCTTGAACAGAGAGAATTCCGATGTAAAGGAAATTAGGCATTTTGACGAAGAATAACATAAAAGACATTTATGAGTTCTTGAAGAAGGTGTCCTTATGTTGGTGCTGGAATCGGAGCAGTAGCCATATTGTCTCTTGTTGGCTTGTGTGCATACTTCCTCTCTGTTCCATACAAACTGTCTAATCCCGTCTGTCCCCCTTTTTTAAATCCAGATAAATAACCCTCACCACACCTTAAGACATCATTTTAATCGAACTAGAGTTTTGTTCATTTCTCTGTAAATAAGATGTTTGACTGTACTTTTCTATAACACTGGAGAGAAAGAGGTATAAAGGGAACATTATTGGTATTTTTTTCTGTTTGGTTTGTTCTGGTTCATCCTGCCTCCCCTTTTTCAATCAATGTTCTCAAGCTGTGAGATAAGTGTTTGCATAGCTAGACAAGTCATCATTTGATTATTTAAATGGGTGTTAAGGTCGTCTGCCCAAAAGCATTTAACATGTACAGACCAGTTTTGCTAGGCTCATCTTAAGTTTGATTTGTTGATTGTACAGATCTATTAAGGGAAAAAAATAAAGTTATTGAAAGTGTTTATGGTACTTTTTCCCCCCACATGTTCATTAAAATGAAAGGATTCATGTCAAGTCTTGGTCACATAGTTTTGTTGGCCAAAGAACAGTTTTTTGCTGGCGACAGCAGTGTTCGGAGGCCTTATGTTCACGGGTTGTCCCTCCGCTTCATTCTAAACACGATATCTCAGGAACTCCTTGAGAGAAATTCTTTAAAGTTGGCGCAAGCGTCCACTTGGACTCTAGGATGAACTGATGTGATGAAAATAACTTTTTGTCACATGTACTCAAACCGTCACTGTATCCTGAGACAGATAATATATGAATCTGGTTCCTCTGTGTCCTTTTAGTGCTCCTAATGGCATTTGCAAGATTCTGCAGCAATGGCAGGAAACCATCCAATCGGTGCCAACGGGTCTGTAATGCAGCTGTCAATCACTGCACGAGAAGCTCTGATCCAACTGTTAAACTAGGCAGAGCTGATCAAATATAAATCAAGATGTTGTTACAGTGTTGACTATTTCTCGCCTCAAAAGTTTTCTGAAACAAATGTTACTGTATGTAGCTGTAAAATGAGAAGATTTGTGACCTGGCCACCATGTTGAAAACAGTAATAATACTTTCATCAATATCTAAATGTGACTAATTGACACTGAATTATTGGTATTAGAATGTATTACGTTAGATTACGTGTTTGCACCCATCTGAGAAAGCTTATTGTTACAGACATGTTGAAATGCATGATGGGAGAAGTCTAACCTCATAGTGGGAGCAATTTCACACTGAAATCTAGTGATGTGACCTTTCGTGTCGAGGCTTCGAAGTCTGTGGGTCCATCCCAAGTCTCTTAATTGTCATTTCCTCGATCCTCGCTCGAACCAGAAGTTGTTTTGCGCCGCCATATTGACGGCCGTCCCAAAGCTCTTATTTTCTGCTGGATGGAGGAGAGAGGAGGGATCTCTGAGGAGCCATGAGCGAGGACCCACGAGAACAAGCTTCCAGGAAGTATTTTAATAGCCGACACGCCCCCTCATTGTTCATCTGTCATGTGATTGGACGCTGCAGCCGATCGGACTGATGAGATTTTTTTCAACATGTAAACAGTGAAGACGGATCACAGATTAAACTCGAGCTTTATATTTGATTCGTTTTCTGATTCAACATCTGGTTTAAATAAATGTTCATTGTAGACTGAACAACAAAAGGACCACAAACAACTTTCTACATTTGTTAGAAAGATTTGTGTTTTCATAATCTGATGTTTCCCTCAATAACTTTTATTATGGATACAATTTTAGGGGGGCCCTAAAATGTTCTTCAGCCCCCCCAAATAATTTGGCATTATTGGATTTAAAAATAAAAAAAATAAAAATTTTGGTGATGTCATTAAATTAAACTATTGTTTCTCACATGGACAAGTTATTTATAACTAACATGCTACATATGTGCGTGTGTTCTGGTTTGTATGTTTTCTCCCCCTTCAAATTACAATCCAATAGCCTATCATCATACTTAACGGTATAAAGTTGACACTGTCAGGTTCATTCTCCATCCATTGTGTCCGGTCCCTTTAAGAATTAGGATTTTGAGTGACGCGGACATGAAAGCTAGTTTATCCATCTTTCCTTTACAAGCAGGAAAGTTATTTCTCTCTTTATTTGAGAAAAGTTCATATTTGTGTTGTCAAATTTCACTATGACCCTGAAATTCTGTCTCTTGTGTTATCATTTACTGAATACAAGCAAAACTACAGAGCAAAATCACCCTCTTTCTGATTGAACCAATCTATGAACTGTCTATATCCACGGCCCCAAATGGGCCCCAAAAAAAATTGCCACTCCCCTTGGGGCTAAGCCCCCCCTTTCTTTGAATCCTAGAAACGCCCCTGCTTCTTGGCAATAAATCTTATACTGTTGGAAAGCCTGTTTATTTACCTTTCAAACAGTGCCCCATTTGTAAGGAACATGCATTTCTGGGATGAGCAGCAGAGCTGAGTATGTGGGTTGCACCCATGAAAAATTTGCCAAATCTTCTCTGCCAATGCCAAACAGCTTATTCTGCTGTTGCTATTGACTCTTGTGTGTTGTTTGGTGGATTGGATGATTGAAGTCTATCAGTAACAAGGAAGAAACAAGACAAATCGGCAATTTTACAATTTATTCATTTAACAAACAGGCGCCTCAGCAGCGTGTGGAAGAACCATACACAGCCACAACAGCCTGGCACCTCCTCCTCATGCTGGTCACCAGCCTGCTCACACACTGCTGTGGGATGGCATTCCACTCCTCAAGCAGGATTTGTCGCAAGTCAGCCAACGTGGTTGTGTTGGTCACTCTAGCACAAACAGCACGCCCAAGCTGATCCCACAAGTGTTCAATTAGGTTGAGGTCAGGACTGTTGGCAGGCCATTCCATCCCAAATTGTGGAGGTAGTCTCTGATAAACACCGCTCTGTGGGGGCGAGCGTCTTCATCTTGGAGGATGGAGTTTGGTCCCAGACTGTGGAGAAATGGGATTACCACTGGTTGCAGAATCTCATCTCGATATCTCTCTGCATTGAGATTGCCAACAATGAAGACAAGCCTCGTTTTTCCAGTGATGGAGATGCCGCCCCACACCATCACACTGCCTACACCAAAAGGTGTTACTCTATCGGTGCAGCAATCAGCATAGCGTTCTCCCTGTCTTCTCCATACTTTGACCCTACGATCCAACTTCCTTAGACAGAATCTGGACTCATCGCTGAACATAACGTTCCTCCACATGTTCAGGTTCCAGTGCAGGTGTTGCCGACACCAGCGCAAACGGGCCTGATGGTCAATAGCAACAGCAGAATAAACTGTTTGGCATTGGCAGAGAAGATTTGGCAAATTTTTCATGGGTGCAACCCACATACTCAGCTGTGCTGCTCATCCCAGAAATGCATGTTCCTTACAAATGGAGCACCGTTTGAAATGCAAATAAACAGGCTTTCCAACGGTATAAGATTTATTGCCAAGAAGCATTGTTACAACAGAGAAATAATCTACCAAACACTAATTTCCGAACTTTTTCATATATAGATATATATCTCTATTTCTCTCTCTCTCTCTCTCTCTCTCTCTCTCTCTCTAGAGAGAGAGAGAGAGAGACGAAACACTTTTTGCATCATTTATCATAATTTCATTCAGTCACATGAGGCTGTTCATTCCTGATTGTCGTGTTTGATGAGTTTAAAAATTTCAGAGAAACAATAATCATATTCTGGGTTATTTAATAATGACGTGACAATCTGAATTTCAAAACGTACAGACGCAAATAATTCATAAATAAGACGATCGCATTCTGCCAGTAGAAATCAATCCTGTGCTTATAAACAGAACACAGGACACAGTTTGTTAACAGACTACAGAGAGAAAACACTCACATTTTGTGTACTTCGGACTTTATTGCGCGTTTGTTTGCAAACTATTCGAGCTTCAGTGGAGGTCCAAAGGTACCTGGGTGAACCAAACATTGGAAGATTGGAGAACCCTGTGGAGTATTGGGAAGGACATAAAAATGTGTATCCCAACTTGTATAAACTTGCTGTTGCTTTTCTCTGTACCCCAGCTTCATCTGTGCCCTGTGAAAGGGTGTTTTAAAGCAGGCGAAATAATCAAAAAAAAAAAAAAAAGAAACCGCCTGAAGCCCAGCACTGTGGAAAAGTTGTTATTTTTAAATAAAAATGAATAAAATGTTTTACGTGTTACATGTTGTCCCCAGTAAGATAAGGACAGTCACAAACCAAGTGATTCAAGCACATTCGGTCTTGCTCAATGGGTAGAGATGGTTGTCCGGTAGTCGCAAGGTCGGCTATTCGATCCTTGGCTGCTACATGTTAAATGCAGAAGTCAAATTTCGTATATATGTATATGACAATAAAATGCTAACTTTAACTCTTTTTTTTTACTTTTCACATCACAACCCTCTCCCCAATTTGTTTCCACTTTCCCTTTTGACCCCGCCATTGTATCATAAATATAGACACCATATTAATAAGTTCATAAGTTATGTATTGGCATCACAAACATCATTCATTCATTTATTCAATTCAATGCTTCACACACCAAAGCCATGGTGTCATTTTGATCACTCTGCCTGTTTTACATTTATTGTCCACTTGATGGCACAGTAGAGCAAATTAAGCACAACGAAGCTTTGACCCATGTGTGAACCAATTGGATGGAAAGCTTCAATGCTTCATAAAGCTTCATCTCGCCATCACTACTGAAATCCATGTACGTTTTTCCAAGTTGCCATTTATTTGGAGCCTGTGTTGTTGTCTGACTAGTGTTTATTTATCTGCTGTGCTGGTTAAAGGCCCAGAGGACCAGAGGCTGTACCAAAATAAGACCGGATACAAAAGAATGTGGCCTTCAAAATAAACTTCAAAATGTGTCCAAAAAGAATGTCAATGTAGTGAACATTACAACGTTTCTATTTATCTTTTAAATTCTCGATTACTGTGTACAAAGATGTTTCCACACCAGTGACACTAGATAATCATTTAGTAATTAGTCAGTTAATAATTCAACCTCAGGATGCTATGGCTATACTATACTATTCTAAATAAAATAATAATATTCTTAATATATTTGTCATCATGATACCAACTGCCCCAAATGTCACATTGGTATGTTTTAGAATTGCAGAACCTGTACAATAATTTAAAACAAATGGGTTTGTTGGTTTGAAAAATGGTTGACTGCACAACATGAATATACGAGCATACCACAATTACATGTATGTATGTGCATCTGTGTTTCTATTCTGGATTTATCCATAATGGCGAAATGCCACTGAATATGTGCAAAACAAAGTCCTTATCACAGCAAATGATCAGATGAGTGTTCAAAATGTCATTCAGTATGGTTAAATAAACCCAAACTCTACATTCAACATGCAGGATGGATTTCCCTACAGTGCTACATGCTTATCATGTTGTATATATTTACTGGAATGCATTCATAATTATTACAAGTATGTATGCACACATTGATCTTTGATAGGCGTTGATTATTTTTTTAATTAAAAATAGAACAATATTATCCAAATAAGATACAGAAAAATGTCCATTATTTTGAAGCTTTGAGTGTGTTGTGGCTGACCTGAAACATCCGGTTGCCAGCTGAATTTAATGGCATATCTGTTGGTGTGCTGTTGAGGAACGCTATCTTTCTGGTTCCCATTGGACCCTGTGCACCTCGGTGAGTACCGCTAACATTGCTCCGTGTTTGACGTTACTGGCTTATGTGTGGATATTCTATGCCAGTGTCGTTTTCAATATCAGGCATTTGTTCCACTCCAAGCGGAGCATTCGTGCCTCGTATTCGATGACATATTCAGACAGAGCTCATATGCTGCAACCGAGAGTCACTGGCCGAGGCCTTGTAACGTTAACGGTCGATGATAAGCCTCTGTCCGCAGGACCGTAAGAGCCTGCTTGTGTTTAGTTAGCTGGAAGAGCTAACGTATCGCCGCTAACCGTTGGCTAACTAAAGCTCGCTGCTAACATTAGCTATTGTACCATTCAGTCAACATTGTAATATTTTATGAATTCCGTTCGTAACATCACCGTTATTCACGGTATTTAGACCACTACTGAGTTGGCTAATAGCTGAACAGTACCGTTAGCCAGTTAGCAGCGACCTGTTCCCGATACGAGCACATGCACAAGAAACAAGTTGAAAAAACAATGGTATTTTAATGTGGCCCTGCATGTTGACACATACAAGTACATTATGTTTTGAGCTTTGACGACCCCCTATGATCTACGTATTAATTCAGCATACATCCGATGCACGAGGCACTTAAGTATTTAAGTAAAATCAACTTCTTATTTCGTCAGCTGTTATTCTCAAAATACCCTCCACCTAAAATACACCGCGCTGGGCAGTGTAGCAGAGATTACATTAATCTCTTGTGCAAACCACCGTGGAGTCTCCATTACTGTATAGTAGGTACTTCTGATATGTTACAGTAGCGCTGGCTTACACTGGGGGGAACTGCTCTTAAAATCCGTAACACTGTTTGAACTCCACGGGGTCACCTTTTGGTAACGGACCTCCTGTTATGCTAGATGACCGTAACACACGCATTTTAGGTTGCAATGCATAAACAAGTGCAACAGTATAAACTTCTGTATCCTTAATGTGATCATCAAGCTGCCTCTTGTGTGCATGGCATGTAATCGCATCACAGATCAGCGTCTAGGTGACCATGGCCACAGTGTATGTGGGTTCTGAAATCAGTGGTTCTGTTGTTTGTTGAGGGACCAGGGCCAGACAAATACTGGGTTTTTGAGGCTGATACTAATATTGGTGTTTGAGAGTTAAGAATTTCATAATGGCTATTATTATTATTATTATTATCCTTGTCATTATTACACGCTCAAAATCCCTTTTCTGATGATGAGGCCCTACATTTGTTCAGTGCTCTCTGGTGGACAAGAGATGTACTAGTAGTGAGACATTTCAAAGGTGTCAATTAACATTAGCATTATATTTTTGAACATGTTTTACAGTAGTTTTCTTATGAAATCTTTTGCTTGGGACACTTGCACTTAATGGCATTTTCATACTTTAGAGCCCCAAAAATCCCATAATATTAAATGATTCACTGTTAATGAATGAATGAATATATTCATTTTATATGATTTTTTTTTTTTTTTTTCACATATGTTTTCATACAGTACATAAATGTTAAGAATGTGATGCGTTGTAGTTTGGGAGTTCTCCCTGCTATAGCTGCCTTCATGTCAGATAGCCAGAGCTGACAGATCAGTGTAGGCCCGTAAAAGCATGAGCGCACCTCACTCAGCTGTCATATTTGGGGATGGGGGATCTCTCAGCACCTCACGGTTTGATTCGGAACCATAGCATATTTGTAATGATTTGTATTTAATAGAATAGAACAGATCAATTTACTTCCATGATCTTTTATTAATACAACATTAGTAACAAACAGAAGAGATGTGTCAACTGGAGGCTTACATTTTCCAACATATTTCCCAGCGTTGCAAAGAGAACCAACAAAATAAAGGTTCTGAATCACTTGAAATAAAAAGTTGCCCTTATTAGCAAATAAATAATATAGACTCCTCTTCAACCAAATCCTCCTATTATGGTTACAGTGACTCAATGGATGTCCACATATCAGTGGCGGGCCGTGCATTTTATACCTGGGCCTTCAGTGCTGTCCTACTACAGTTGAACCTCTTCCTAATAACCTCATTATGACACAGCATGATGGGATGCTGCGTCATTAACTGGCAATGCATATAGTCACAATCAATGTAATTAACCCAATGACAAGAACAAACTCACAAGAAGCAGTCGCATATATTTATATGACAACAAAGCAGGTCGAATAACATTAAACCCAAATAACACGATTCAACAGGCCTCTGCACGTTCCAGCAGAACTGTGCCGCTAAAACCCGCATTCTACCACACACTCAAAAAATTTGAGAAAAATTGAGTTTTCTGTATCGAGACATAATCTTTCAAGAGAGTCACGATGCATCTTGCACCTTGCTTTGAGAATATGTGGCTGTAGTGTTCCCAAGGTAAAGGCAGGTGCTTTGAAAAGTGCTGTTCTTGCACTATGGCCACTATTTGCCTGTTGACTGTACCCTAAACCGAAGTAGGATGGCTGTTGTGATGGAGAGCCTGTTTTGTCTCAAAGACTTGAGGAAGATATTTGTGCTCTTTAAGTGGTCTTTTACAGTCGGTCTGATTCTACTTTGACTAAAATACCTTAGTGTCCAGCTGTACGGGCGCTTGTCAAATGAAATAACGGTTAGCTTTAAACTGAGGTTGTTTTCACCACTCGGGAAATCAATTTGTCCCAAATCTTCTCAAAAAGAAGCCATTGTAATTTCTATTCAAATCCGTCATATTCATTTAGTCAGTACTTGCAATCAGTTGAGAAGAGATCAGTAGCCCATGCTCACATAAAACTTAAACAAATGCATTTGACACGTAAGTATTAATAATAATATATTTCAACCATTGTTAAAGCCTTTATTTCAAGCCGATGTTGTAAGTGCATGGAACATCTGGCTGTCCCACAGCAGGATGGGATCCTCTGTTATTTCTATAATGTGTAGCTGCAGGAGCTGAGTGCTGACTCTGCATGTGTCTGTCTAAATCCAGCTGATGCAATCTATGTGTGTGACATATAGTGCTGTACCTGTGTCATATATCCAGACAAACAAATTCACAAAGGGCCCTTTAAAGTGCTCTGGCTCCTCGTGTGCTGCTGTGTCCTCAGGTTGAATGTGGATCTTGACGTTTGCTTCATTCCCGTTGCTTAGACTGGCCGTTGGTGATCAAAACAAGGTGGACAAATAAAAGACCATTAGAGCTTTTCCATTAACAGTTTTGGCGTGCAGAGTAGTTGCACACAATTATGTACTGGGACTATTTTCAATTCCTGCGTCATACAGTGTCTCTTGTTCTTTGTGCGCGCACACACACACACAGCTTCACTGTGGCAGGAAGGCATGGCTGTTAGGAAGGGCAACTTGTTAACATCAAAGCCAGCCTCTTGGTGAATAGGAGGCTGAGAGAGGGGCTCTGTTTACAGGCTGTTGATGGGCCCTGGCACTGCCATGTGGCACTGGGCAGCCGCCAGCTACAATGAACCCCAGTGAAGCAGGGGGAGGGATTGGAGAGGCAGCCATTGCAAATAGATTAAAGAAAGCTACAGCCAGCTTCTCCCTCCAGACCTCTAACATATTTGAATCTACTTCTCAGTTGTCTGGGTCCCAGTCATGAAGCAATGATGTAGTTTCATTATAAGATTAATAATAGAAGTATATAAAGTTTGTGCTGCTAACTCGTACTAACACACTGCCTTTCTTCTCTCTGTAGGTGCTAATGACTGTGACGTAGCGATGCGTGTGCCCTGGCAGAGTTTGACTCTAATATCTACCTGGTGACAGACCCTTGAACCTTTTCATTTCTGTCACTGGACTATTCCAGCCCCTGCACACCCTATATTAAAGTCAGCCATGCTGGATGCAGCTGATTAACAAGTAGCGTGGGGGGGGGGGGGGAGAGAACTCAAGTTTAAAGACTGCCATGTTTGTGTTAGAATGAGAAATTGAGCAGAGGAGAAGTGGAAAGCAAGTGAGACTGAAGGGGCCAGAGTGCGTGTGTTGGTGACAGAGAAGAAGAGCCATCCTTTCAGTAGGTTGGCGGGACCTGAGGATGACGAGCCTGTTCAAGCGCAGCAGCAGCAATGGAGGCTCCGGAAGCGGTGGAAGCGGTGGTGGGGGCGCCAGTGGTCACGGGCAGCTCAACAACAGCAGGCCCAACCGGCAGGTCCGACGCCTGGAGTTCAACCAGGCCATGGAGGACTTCAAGACCATGTTCCCCTCCATGGACTATGAGGTGATAGAGTGCGTGCTGCGCTCCAACAATGGAGCGGTGGACGCCACTATCGACCAGCTGCTCCAGATGAGCATCGACGGACAGGGCTCAGACGACAGCTCAGACTCTGATGACAGCATTCCACCAGAGGTCAGTGGAACGGTCCACTCAGTCTAATGCTGGCCCAGCCTGATAAACCAAACGTATTTCAATGATTACCAGTCGGGTCTGTGACAGATCAACATGTTGAGATGATGGGGAAAAGATTTAAAATACACCTGACCACTTTTGAGCCACATTGGTCTGCGTGTGCTGTAACCGTGATCACTATAGGTCGTTTACGCCAAATCCTTTTATGTTTTATTTAATAATTCTTTGTTGGCTCATAGCATACGATCACAGACCCCAAGAACCTTTGGTATAAATAAACTTTTTGACAGCAAATGTAAACTACAACCATAGATTGAACAATTGGTCCTTTTGATTGGCGCTCATCCCATCTACAGGAGAAGTGGCTGTAAGCAGTGAGCTAACAAAAGACCTGTTGCTATTTTCTGCAGATTAAGACAGGCTGGTTCTATTTTGGGAGTTCTAGCATTCTCCTGTTGCACATCACATGCGTGATGTCATGTCATACATTACCTTGACTTATAAATGCATGTGCTGACTCTATTCAGTCACAAGGCATTGACCCAGGGCTTCATGACATGAGGCTGAGCCAAGCACTAATTGATTTTGAAGATTGAATTTGATCCCAGCGATGCATTGCCTAATGGCCTTTGTGTGTCTTCTCCCCCCCCTCCATCACAATGTCTCAGGACATGTATGTAGATATAGAGAGGCTAATATCATGTTCATCAACTGAGAGGAAGACGGGTTAATGAAACAAGGCTTGTGCTGTCCTCTCTTGTGTTGTCTGTTCCTCTCTAGATCCTGGAGCGAACACTGGAACCTGACAGTTCAGATGAGGAACCACCTCCAGTCTACTCCCCACCAACGTATGATATGCACATTTATGACAGGAAATACCCAGAAGCCCCACCAACGTCCCCGCCAAGGTAAGGAAGAGGGCCTGAACGTTCACATATAAGGAGCTGAGACCTTTTTTTGTTCTCTTTGGGTTTTTGTATCACAAATGAAGTGTACCTCTGATTTTATTAAATGGATGGAGAGTTTGTGTTTAATAGTGTTGCTTCTGGTTTAGGACATTACCAATACTCATTACAATGCTCAGTGCGATATTCTCAGACGCCAGAGAGCGTCCAAACAAAGTGTACTGTGAAGAAGCAAGACGACAACGAGTGTAATTTAAAAAAACAAAACAAACAAAAACACGCCATAAGCCAACCGCCACAATGCCTAGGAGGAACTGTAATAAACTGTAATCTCATATTCATGGACTACTTTATTGCCTTTGTACAAGCCCTGTAAAGAAAGAAGTCAAGTATTTAATGCATTATAATGAAACAAAAGTTGAATATCATGTAATCAATTTTGATTTGGCTGCAAAATATAAAAACTCAAATGTATACTTTCTGGCGTGCGAGTGTAAACCAAGCGTAACAGCTGCATTGTGTATGTTTTGTAGGTGTACTGTTTACCATGTTCACAGTCTTAGTTTAGCATGGTGTTATTTTGCTAACACAAAGTAGTAGCTAACACACATTTTTGCAAATATTTGGTGGTGAACCTTTGACTTGAACAGGTAGGTGTTAATCCTGCTAGGCTCTAGGACCACCGTACTAAGAGGTTTCGGCCCTTACCCCGGTACATCACCTGGTGAACCGGGATGTCTCTCTGACGTCCCCTGCAACTAAACTACTTAAGGAGTTGCTAGCTCCCCATGTCTTGTCCCGCCTTCTTAGCCGGAGCCAGAGCTTGCCTTCTCTGCCTCTGTGGATACCTAACTGGTGGCCTGTGGGTGCTGGTCTCCCCTATCCTGAGGAAGCAACTTCTCTGTTGGAACCTCGTGGCCTGCCTTATATCACAAGTAGATGTTGCGATTAGGCTTCATCCTCCAGAGACTTTGGACATCAGCCAAATGTCATGGCAATGCATCCAATCGCTGTTGGGATATTTCACTCAAAATGGGAAAGGTCCTTAGTGTAGGATTCATCCTCTGGAGACCACACAATGCTTCATGGCAGTCCATCCTGTAGCTGTTCAGATACTTCAGTCCAGATCAAAGTAATGGCTCGACTAGCTGACATTGCCATCCGTACAGCCATGCAGCTTGTGTGGCTAAAATAGAGGGTAGACCACACATGACATGGGTAGAGGTAAGTTGGTATGTACTTAATGTAGTTGGTAGAATTACTTATGTGTCCTGTTACTCCATGGGCTCTAATAGATTTGAAGCCCAGCCCCCACCAGGTCACCAGCAGGTCAGAAGTTACCGCAACTGGAACCCTCCTTTACTTGGAAATCTCCCCGATGATTTTCTGCGGATCCTGCCACAGCAGTTGGAAAGCATAAAGGTAAAAAATGTCCGCATGTAGAGTAGATGTTAAATGGGTGCATTTGGTTTAATTCTTCTTCAAAATGTACTTACATTTTCATTTTGTCATAAAATATACATATGCATTATGAAATGTAGTATAGAGTGTATAGTGTTGGTTGTAAAAATAAAGTGCTTTGTAAACAGAAAACACGAACAATACTGACCAACACTCTAACTGCCAGGCTTCAGCAGCTACATTAACTCAAGCACAGTAGCTTATTCAAGTGACTACCAGCCAATGGTACCTACTGTACAGCCAGGGATATCCTTATCAATCACTGATGACTTTTAGTTTGTTGGCTCATTTACCGCCATGAGGTCACTGATCTGGCTGTCTGATCACCTGGGCAGCATCCTGCAGCGATGTCTTTAAATTGACTTAAATGATCTGTTTTGCTGTACAAGGTGAAAGGACTATTTTTGTTTCCACAAAGTTAAGCTAATGACTTTCATTTGTTTTCATTCTTTTTTTTTTTTTTTTTTTTTTTTTTTTTTTTTTCCCCCCCCCAACCATTCCAGTTTCCATTAATGTCCATACATTACAGAGATCAGTTGGAAATATGCTGGAGTTAAGTAGTCCATTAGTGAACATCAAGTTCAAATGAATATTTGTCCGTGTTACATTATGGTAATGCACTGCGACAACAGGTTGGTTTGAGAGGTCTAAAGTGCATTACCTGCACTGCATTAAACAATAATGTACTGTTGGACATGAGTGATTACACAACTCAAACCTGGTTTTAAGCATTTTCCAACCACAATAATATGGAAAACAATGGTTGGAAGTATGCATCTGAAGCCGGCAGTTGATTAGCTTGGTCTAGCATACAGACTGCAGATAGGACAAGTGTAGCCTGAGTTTAAATATGCTGAAAACTGAATGAACAAATGAAATAAGTTTGATCTTGTTTGTTAAATCCATGCACAGTCAGCTGTGTTTAAATGACAATCGGTGGTTTTAGGGGAGCTACGTACTGGAACTAGTTAATCCACCCGCCCAACACTTCAGAGTGTTCTGCTACAGCGAGGGTTTCCAGACAGGAAACGGTCGTGAGCTCAGCGATTAGTATACAGGTGCTGGTCATATAATTAGAATATCATCAAAAAGTTGATT